GACCGCATTGGTTCAATATTAGCTTTTCATTCCAGTCTATTGTGCCCATCTGAGATAATATTGACTCTGAGGTGAGAGCCCGCAGACAACAGGGCTCGTCTAACTCTCCGCGGCAGGGCGCTCCAAGGGAAGAGAACCAGAAATGGAGAGTTAAAGAGATGGCAAATAAAAGCTGCTCGCGCGGCGGCGCGCCTGGGGCCAAGAACAGGGAGCTGGCGTGGGCTGGCGCCTGGGCCTCGGACCTAGGAGCTGTGGGTCGTAGGACGGCCTCCGGGTCTTGGGGCCGCTGCAAAGAGGTGTGCAGCTTATGCCCATAAAACAAAACAAAACGCCTAGCCCTCTTGTAACACACAGTCCCATCTTCCACATGAGACGGAGTTTCTTCTTCTAGGTCGTAGGAGAAAAACGAATTCTCACGTACTGTTTTCGGGTTGCCAGTAAGACAACATCGAACCCTGAGACGTTTTCCCCCTTTTAAACAGGGTCGGCCTTCAGGGTAATGTTTCTGTCAAAACTGTTTCTCTGCTTTTCTCAGCCTGGGAAGATTGAACGCGCGCGTGCAGCAATGATCGTGAAGCTGCTTTATTTGCAAAAGCGAGGTTAATATCAAATTTCTGACTGTGCCTTTTTACCCTGTTCTGAACCGCCCCCTTCCAGCCCTTCTGCAGCTGTAGAGGGCCTTGCAAACGCATCCGAAGATCCGTTTCCATTTTCAAATGGCCTCTAAATGCCTGCGTGGAAAATGGCGTGTTGCATTGTTTTAGGTGGCTGAGACAGAATCCAGAGGCTCCAGGGCAGGGGACCAAAGGCCCCAAACCCAGGGCTTGCAGTGATGTCCAGGAGTGTGCCCTTGTGTCATTTATGACAACTGCATCCACCCCCACTTGGAGTCCAACCTGGAAGAGATAATGTTAACTCCGTGACCCCAATAAGGAATTCATCTTTTGGGATCTTTTCCTTCACCTCCAAGACATCTGTCAGGTGGGGAGAAGGCTGGATGGAGCGAGGGCTGGGAGTGCATCATCAGCTTTGGGAGACCAGGGATCATGGGGTGCTTCTCTCCTTCCTTTGGGGCAGCAGGTACTAGTTGGCATTCCAGGACAGTAGCTTGGACCTTTCAAAAGAAGGAGATTTCATTTCATGTATGTAATGCATAAAATGATCCGTTTGTATTACATGCTGTTTAACATATAATTTGGATTGTATAGTTTCATTATACAGTGTTTCATGTTTAATATTTAGCTCCTCTGTGAACGTTTACATTATTGTTATTTATTTAACATGTTTTATTAAACATTGTATATCCTGTGTACAATCTGGAGATTTATATTTAGTGTGTGTGTGTGTGTGTGTGTGTGTGTGTGTGTGTGAGTGTGTAGGTCTTTGGGAAGCCTTTACAGTCCCTTCAAGTACATATTTTATTGTTTTATTGTAACTTTATAAAGTCCTAATGAAAACCACTTTGTGACCAGCTACATCTTTATAACAAATACTATAGGATCTGATTTCAGCTCTAGAAAAAAGCGAGGCAAGGGTGACTTTGCCACGGGGAACAGCAGGTCCCCTCTGGAAAATGGTTTTCCAAATACCCTGTCCCTGGGGACTGAGGAGAGGCTGTTCTGGACCCAGAGGCTGCCTCCCTTCTGTGCTCTTGTGGTAGTTTTGGTTTTGAGAGCAGTTGTTTAGAGGTTCAGAAGGTTCCTAAACTGATGTCATGAATTAAAAATGACTTTGGAGAGTGTGGCACATGCTCAACTGAGGCATCTGGGAGAGCAGCGGAGGCCTCTCACCCGGTTTCTGGGCTCCAGACCACAAACTCCCAGGCTCCTAGTGCCCAGCCGGTGGAGGAGCAAGCACTCCTGCAGCCCTTCAGAGCCTTAGCCAGGAAAACATGGTCCTGACTCACAGGTCAGATGGTCTTTACTACAGCCTGCTTTTCACATGGATTATGAGCTGAATCTGTCGCACCCAGGCAGTCGAGAGTTCTACCTTCTGCCGGTGGGCAGGGGCCATGTGGGACAGAAAAAACAAACACTCAAACAAACACTCAAGTTTCAGATATGCAAGGTATTACCCCTTGGAAAGGACGGAACCAAGGGAGAGTTTCAGTGTAAGGAGGGAAAAGGAAGAAGGAAAAACAAAGGGAGAGGGAGTCAGGTACAGCCAACGAAAGCATCAGAAATGAGCAACATGAACTAACCTTACAGTACAAACTGGAGAGAGCTGATTCAGAGAGAGAGAGAGAGAGGTCTTGGTGTTGGGAAGGGAAACTGAGGTGGAAGGTGCGAGGGAGAGGACTCCACCGAGGAGGAAGACAGGGAGAGACTGGCAGGGTGTGATGTCGCTTCTTCCTTAAGAGCACCCCTCCCACTCTCAGTGCTCACCTTGTGAACATCTCTGTACAAGGAAAGTGACGAGAGCTGGCTGGAACCCAGACTAGTCAGCTCTGAGTCCCCGTTTCCAGCAAAACTCAGCATTCAAGGGAGCCAGGTCCTAGATCTGACCTGCTCAGTCCCCAAGCTTGGGGAAAGGTTCCTAAGGACATGCAGGAGTGGCAGCTGTGTCCCTCCTGCTCTGTCCCTGAAGGGGTTCACGGGCTTGAAACAGGGACAAGGTAAAAAGATGGAAGAAAATGTTCTAAAAACAAACCAACCAAGTCCTGCTCCATATGTACGACTAAAGTCTCTGGGCATGGCTATGTGGGGAGGACTCTGAACATGCACATGGGGCCAAGCCTTCCAGATAAGGAGTGGATGGATAACAGTGTCAACCATGTGGGTGTGGATCACTGCCCGACAGGCTTGAGTACACCTGGCCCACCTGTAGCCTCTTCTCTATCCAGGTTATCCATCTTGTCCATGTCCTCTGTGGTTGGAAACCTTTATTCCAATGATGTAAACAGAGCAGTTCCCTATTTCTGTGCCTTGCTTTGTGTCCTCTGACCTCAGTTTAAAAGACAGGTGCTCAGGTGTGCCTAGAAGAAGATAGGATTTATTTCATTTCTCATCTGCTGCCAGTGCAGTTCACATGAGATGTAATCCATTCGCATCACTGATGGCTCCAGTCTTGGGTACTGTGCTAAGCACCTATTACAAGGATTTATCTCATCCAGGCCTCCTAGCAATCCATTGAAGTAATCCATTGAATCCATTAAGGGCCATTTCCATTTTCCATGTGAGACAACTGAGCCTCTGGGTTATTAAGGAATTCACCCAAGGTCACACAGACAGGCAGCAGAGGAGAAAGTCAGGATTCCAACTCAGGTCTGTAAGACTCCAGCAGCTTTTCTTTCCTCCCTTCCCCTCTAATTATTATTATTATTTGTGTGTGGGTGTGTATGGGTGTGTATGTGTGTGTGTGTGTGTGTGTGTGTGTGATCAGAATGCTCCCTTTCCCCAGTGGGAAAGTAAAGACCCACAGAAGGAGAGAGTCAACACTTCTCTTTTTAGTCTCCCACTCACAAAATGAAAGCAGTGATTATAGCATGCAGGCCCTTAACCTCTACATCCTCTTTGGAGCAGCTATCCCGGGTCCAGAAGAGGTGGTAAACAGTCAGCATACGATAGCTCCTGTGGTTTACAAAGTGCCTGCTCACACCTCCCTTCAGTCACTCTCCCACTGTCACTAGGAAGCAGACATTGCTCTTACAGTCCCATTTTAAAGAGTTGGGAATGGGCTAAACAAGGCTGCACAATTGCCCACTGCCTAGCTAGCTTGCACAGAGCCCTGGCACCACCCAGCCTCCCCATTTCAAGCCTCCCAGCATTGAGATTACCACATATGGGACCACTTAGCCAGTGGAGCTCGGTCTTGGGTTCTTTTTGAGATTGCTGTGTTGTTTTCTCTTTTTCATGTTGAGTGTTTGTTCCTACAAATCTTGTTTTAGGATTGCAAACTTCCTCTGCACCTATGCCTCTCTTATCTGCATTCCTTCCCCATGTGCATACCCATCTGTACCACAGGCCAGCAAGAAAACAGAAATGTACCCTTTATCTGCAGCCGATGATACTCGGAAACTAGAGCATGTAGCTTTGTACCTGCACTTGTTTGTGCTGTTCTGTTAACGTTTGCCTTACACATTCCACTAAAACTCAAACGTGTCATCAAGGGTTTAAAATGATGTGTGTGTGTGTGCACGTGCGCGTGTGTGCACACGTCCTTTAGTGACTTTCATGGTATTTTTAATCAACTTAGATATTGTTTTCTCTCTGATAATATATACAGAGTTTGAGGTTGGAAGCATCCATTGAACAAATGGTTCCCTGTTCAAAGAGTTACTCAAGAATCCAGATGAGAAATGGTGAGAGAGGCCTCTGATCACTTGGTGGCCCACCAGGCCCCACCACCACCTACCACTGCCATCAGGAGCCTTCCAAGGAAGAATGCATCCCACCTTTGGAAGGTCCAGCATCCCTCTCTGGGCCCATTCTGCCCCTCGCTTAGTCACTCCCCGGGAGCTGTTTCCCTCCTCCCCGTTAAAAATTTTCCCCTTCATTGTTTAAAAATTATATGTATATTTTAATAGGATACCAGAATGTGTAAAGAAGTCAGTAACCATGACCCCAATTCCCTCTAACTCAGAGGCCCCTGCCAAACATTTTGGGATGTTCACTTTTGACATGTCAGTAGAGAAAAAAAAATTAGATTGTGTCTACACATTTTTGTTACTGATTCTAGGGAATAAAAAAGAAAAGAAAGAAAGGGACAGGCTATACACTTCTACTTGTATGAAGTTCATAGCAGGAAAAATTAATCCATGGATATGAAATTCAGAAAGGGGGGCTTGACTGCAAAGGGCCACAAGGGAACTTTCTGGGGAGCTAGAAATATTCTATATTTTGCTTTGAGTAGAAATAACATAAATGTAGGCAATTGCCAAGACTTGTTGAACATTGGCCCTTTTATTTTACTGTAAGTCTTTATACCTTAATAAAGGAATAAAGAAAGACTCCTGAAAAAATATTGTGGAAAAGACCAAACTGGAGAGGCCAGGGAGAAGCAAAAGACTGGGCTAAAAGCATAAGATGCTGAGCTTAGCCAGGCTCACGGTACCTGGAGTGTCACGGAAAGGAGGACCCGCCAGCTGTGCCCTCCGTCTCAGCCGTTATACCCAAGAAGGTAACACCATCTTAGGGTCCTGCTGGGACCCACCATTGGCCAGACTTCCTCCTCCTCCACTGATATCCTGATGTGTGCAAAGTGAGGCGCTGCATTTGGGGGGGTTAGAGGGGCTCTGTCAGCACCCAACAAGTATCTGTGCTCAGTCAGGAAGCAACGTAGAGGCCTTAACTTGCAGACAGGTTTCTAAAGTTTCCTTCAATTCACTATCTGGCATTCAGAATGCCATTCCTCATAAAAACAGTGTTATAAAGGGTACTTAAGAGCCTGCCTAAAATACCTATTAAATGCCTACTCATAAAATATACAATTTTAAGCTTGGTAGGAACATAACTATATTGAGTTATATGATTGCATTCCATGAAAAAGAGAGAGAGAAAAGGAATACCCACCCCCCACACACAACACCCCTACCTGTTTATTCTACGTATTCTTAAAATTGGGGATTCAAAACTGGAAAATCCCACAATATCACCCTTCAGGCAGCTCACTCTCTAGTAGAGGAAGACACCGTGTACATAGGTGAATGTAATAAAATCTAATGGGCATTGTGAAAGAGGCGGTCTTTCTTTTCCTGCTAAGACAGCACTGCAGCTTAACCTCTTGGCCACTTCTGGGGTGAGTTGAGGGTTTTTGACTTTCAAGTTATTTGAAGGAATAGAGGTGGGCAAGACTTGCAATTCCAAAGGGTAAAGGAAAGAAAATTTATAAGGCACGTAGACCTAGCAGAAAGACTGCCAGAAGTAGGTTTGCCTGAGGAGTGAGGACAATAAAAGCATAGTCCCAATACTGGGAAGAAAGAAAAGGCCATCTCCTCCCTCCAGCTGACTCTGGACAGTGGGGCTGGCTCAGCGTGGCTGGGTACAGTCCGAAAGCTGGGTGTGTCAGGAGGCTTGTGCCCTCAAAAGTTCTGTTAAGTATTTAAAATCAGATTTTTCCAGTATTTGGAGCATTGATCCATTCTGCTGATCCTGGGCATTTACCATTTATGTATAA